TGAATCTTGTGACGAAGTCTGGGGCTGCCAACGTAGACGAATTACGACGCATAAAGACAAGCTGATCACCAGGAAACTCGTCATAGAGTTAGAGACGCAGCGCTTTCTTCTGTAATTTCTTCAACATTTTCTTGCTGTCAATGTCTCGGATGAGACGTTCGCGGACGTTCTGACTGTTGAGGTGGTCGCGGACGACGAAGATCTGTTGCTGTCCTACTAAAGGTCGGACTTTGAGAAGACCTTCGTAGACGCCACGAGACTCTTTCTCCGTCATAGAGTGCCACAGCTGATATCCCTTCAGCGTTAAGGCGCCCACGGTGATGATTATGGGTTTCTCCGATGCGTCCGGTGATGCCTGCGCCAACCACCACGAGATGACGACACCAGAACTGTCTACCCAGAGGTAGAATCTCCATCCAGCGCGGACCTTGTGGAGTCTGATCGTAGAGATGCTGTTCTTCTAGAAGTTGACGGCGTCCCTGGCTTCGTCGTCCTTCAAAAACATGTCCCACGACGCGTCTTTACGCGTATATTTATTCAATGGGAGTGCCATCTTCGCGAACTCTGGATAAAAACGCGACGGCCAGTTGGCCTTCGCGCGAAAAGACGCCACTTCTGCTAGGTCACGCGGATCAGAGACGTTTCTGAGTGCTTCAAGTCTTTGATCAGTCACAGCTGCACCGTCGGAAATGAGGCGACCGCCGATTTCTTCTTCAGTTGTGAGAAGACGAAGCTTAGGCCATTTTATCAACCACCCGCGCTTGTCTAGTGCTTGGAAAACCTCCTCTACTTGATCTAGAAGCTGAGGCTTCTCCTGGGTGGTTGGCTGTTGTTTTCATAGAAGTTTGATACCGGTGTAGATATCATCAATAAAGTTCTTCACTTTTGTCTTGCGGGTGTCGCTTTTTGCTTCTGCTTGAAGATAGGATGGAAACGATTCCCCTCCGAAACCCATGACGTTGGGCTTGAGACGTCGCTGGGCGGGGTTGGCGACGTAGTGCTTTTGAGTGCGCTCACTAGGCGGAGCCTGATTATAACCTTTCACAAGGTCAATCGTCGCACGAAGATCGTGCTCAGCTGCAAAATCTACAAACTCAGCTAGCACAGGTTGGGGCCAGGTTTTCTTCACGACAGAGTCGCTCACTGCCATGCTGGCGCAAATGAAACGACCCATAACTCCCTTCTTCCTGGTCGATGACGAAGCCAAGGCTGCTGATCTCGGTGGTCTCGTGAATTTCCTCAGACGTGCCATCCTCGCAAAGCCATCGTAGTTGGGCTAGTCCTCGAGTCTTATCGAAGTCAGACTGGCGGCACTCTGTTCTACTAGTGAGCCGCTTGTAGTTGCGTCCGACGGCTTCATGATCTAGCTCGAGATCAAACTCCAAGTCTTTGACTGTGCGAAGTGGCACTCCGTCAATCCACACGAGGTGAGCGCACTTACGACGTAGTAGCTTGATGCGGTCTAGAGCTGGTCTTTCTTGATCTTTCCATTTCTCCGCGCCAAGCTTCTCCATGTGGCCACGGCACTCCTCGGAGTCAAGCTGCGCGCTCTTCTTGTTCTTGGCGCGTTTTTCGTCTTCTGATTTGATGGTCTTGCTCAGTAGTTCAGAGTTGCCATCCCACTTCGCTTTCATGCGATTGCGCGCTGTGGACACTAGAGCACGAGACCCCCATGGATCAGCAGAGGATTGGAACTGGTCGCGCCATTCGTTCGCTTCGTCATAGTGCTTAAGGTCCTCGAAGTATGATCGTGGAGTGTACACTTGTACAGAAGTTCTATAGTCGTTCCCATCGTGGATGGTGTACGATGTGCCAACATGAATACCCCGCCACTCTTCGCTTTCACTGTTGAAGACGCGGGCGCATTCGGGACGAATCTCTTGCCTCGTGAACTCTGGCACTCCTACCAACAGTTGGAACTTCACTCCGGCGAGTATCAGAAAGGAGACTAGCACGACCGCGAAGAAACATGTAGCGTCGAAGCGATGCTGTCGAAGTATGGCGCATTGATCGCAGATAGTGCCTTTTCCGGTCTTGTTAAGTCCAGCACATTGCACAGCCGGCCCTCTGTACTTTTTCACTACTCCCTCCTTCGTAGCTGGATGCTGTTCGAGTTGTGACAAGAAGACTTCTTCCACGATGTTGGTTTCACTACAAGAGTCCTCTTTTTGCAACAAGAAAGACTTGCCCACCTGGACCCACGCACGTGAGTGATTCTGGGTGGCGTTGTTGACGATGAGAACTTGTGGCTTTTGAGGAGTTTCTTCCCACTGCTTATTGATGATTTTCTCTACTGCGGGCGCTTCTGCTTTCTTGTCATTGGTTGACGCTGTTGCCGCGATAGTAGACGAAGGACTAGAACTTGTTGACGTGAGCGATTTACTCAGGCACCAAAGTCGAGACTTGTTGTCTACTGTCTCTGCTGGAGACGCAGACGATGTGGTCGCTGGAGAGACACCTTGATCAATAACGCTCCTGCGTTTCTCCGTGGTGAATTCCGGCTGTTGTGCTTGATCAGTGCACTTATCTCCGGTTGTGGTGGTAGTGACACGGCTTTCTTGCAACAAACCGGCAGCAATGGCAGACGTTGAAGGATTTTCTCCAGTCGTAGTGGTGCCTGCTGGTGGATCGGTTGCTTCACCGCAAATCAAGGTAGCAGCCTTAAATCTTTCTAGTGCTTCACGATGATGAGAAGCTTCGTGGCCACGTCCGTAACAAGTGGCGCTGCCTTCCCGCCAATTGCACCACCGACCTGATTTAGCAAGTTCAGCTGCTCTGTCTCCTGCTAATCTATTAGGACACTGCCTGCGCTTTGTCACTAGTAGGGAAGTGAGTTCCTTTGCATTCCTTGCATTCTTGAGGAGGAGCTCGCGACTGTTTCCCAGCGCCACCACTAGGGGAATCTGTCGGCTTCTTGCTCTTTTTACCTTTGCCGTTATCCTTCCCTTTCTCCTTCTTGCCTTTCCCGTCGCCCTTGTTCTTGCGAGGAGGGTCGCCTTTAGTCTTGCCTCCTTGACCTCCTTTGCCACCAATTTGCAAGGTATTAGAAGGCTTGGCCTTCTTGTTCGCCTGAATCCACCTGCGAACTACGTTGATGAGGCTAATCGGCGTCTCTCCCTGATCAAGATGGCTACAAGAAGTGTCAGCGTTGTCGCCCAGAGGGCACAAGATCCCCTGCAAGTCGGGATCGGGAAGCTCAACGATGTTGGGCTGACTCACTGCCCTCAGGAAGAAGGTCGATGTAGTTGATGATTTCAGCTGGAAGCTTTTGCTTCAGGTTCTGTAAGTCGCTGATAGGATGAGCTGGAATGCCTGCCATTTCCCTGCGGCTTTTCGCCTTGCGATACTTGCCCATCCACGTTTCGAAAGATGCCGCTGAGTCGATGTCCTCAGAGCTACACTGGAGCTCTAGCATCTTTTCACGTGCCTGCTTAGGCTTACGCAGCATTTCCAATCCTGTTTTCTTCGGGAAGAACTCGCTGAGAAGATGATTTTGTAGCTGTTTCCAGAACTCTTGGTCGGGTTCAGACTCGTAAAGTTTGTTCTTGCCGATCTTGTTCGTGAACTCTTCGGGGTACGAGTCCGCGGGACTATCGCGCTTGACTACTGCTCTCAGCGTGCGGACAAAGTCGCTTGCCTTGGCCAGTTGTGCTTCGTGTTCATTGCCACTACGCTGAAAAGGTTCGATCTCGTCCTCGTAGTCTTGGGCTGTCTTGAGCATGGCCTTGTCTTGTTGTGCAGTCTTGACTGCTCTTACTGCTTTAGCGTCCTGCTCAGCTGCTGCGGCAGCAGTACTAGTGGCCGACATCCCGCCAGTGCTTTCATCTCTAAGACGCTTATTATTCGACTCCACCAACTGCGCCATCTTGGTGCTCAATTCGAGCGCAGCCTGCGATAGCTGCCTGATAGTCTCACTCTGAGTTTTGATGATCTCCTGCGCTTCGTCAGACGATGGAGAAGGAGATGGCTGATTCTGTAGCACTGGAGCGCGTAGGTCGCACTGTAATTTGGCGGCGTTGAGGATGTTTCCTAGTAGGCTTCTAGGGTGTGGAAACGCGGCACCTTCCTCAGTGCGTTCCAACGTCAGAAAATGAATGGTGTAGATTTGCACCCCGTAGTAGTGATTCATGTGTTTGATGTGGAAGCCAAACACGTGCGACTGTAGAGAAGATGCTGGCTCTTGGTAATCTTCACCACTAGCAGCTTGCTGCCGGTTGTCGTCGTTGGCTTCGACGTTGAGCTCGGAGCCAGTAGTCGGATTGTTCGGAGAAGCACCACCTCCAGGCGTGTTGATAGCAATAGTTGGCCCTTGGAATTCTGTCCATTGATCAAATGGGCCATCGTCGTGAATCGTAAAGCAGACGCGATACGCGGTGTCGCCTGTTGCTTGCGCGAGATAGAACAAGTCCGCTACTTCCAAATCGGTCATCAGTTGCTCAGGGGGACCCCTCCAGCCACTCTAGTCCTTTAATTCGTTGCTAATATTGTACTAATTTGACAAAACACAGATCCCGCGCGCAATCCAGACCACCACACCCCTGGCAACCTCCGACACACACAGGGAGCACGGCAGGCCCTGACCAACAAGGAACACACACCCCAGACACCCCCGAGGCCCTCACTGGCACGCTGAACAAAGCTGCACACCAAAAGGCGCCGATCGACGCAGAAAGGCACCACAACCAAACGACGACCGACGGGACAGGAAAGCGACCACACCAACCCACAAGCCACGGGTTAGTCAACAGCCACCACTCAAAACCACCCACCATAGCCCGCTGATCCACTGGTAGGAATTTTTTGGCTAAAGCCCTTCCATCCTAGCCGTGTCGCTGAAGTCCGAGACACGTCACCCCCGCAACCCCTTATAAGCATGGCAGGCATAAATATGCACACCACTGTAACATCTAGCAACCGATGGACACTCTGACCACCTAGCAAGCGGACGACGCTCTCTCCCGATGGAAATCAACTCCAGCGCCATCAATTCGAAGGAGCTGCTTTTTCACATTGCCAGGCATCGCGCGCCCAGTCACAGCAAGTGCTTGACTATTTTACATGCATCGCGTCGCGCTTCTTACTACAGTCGAAAATGTGTGCTGTCTGCTTGGTCGGTCTTCGTTGTTCATCAAGAGAAGCTAGGAGTTGCATTCTAGGACTCATCTAATGGGCATCCTGTGGGGGTTCACTGCCTGTATATCACAAATTCTGTAGTGTTTGATGGTCATGAACTTGTAAATATTTCGGAAAAAAGTAAAAAGTTGGTCCCTGACTCATTTTCGCAAGGTGTCGCTGCACCGAGCGAAGATACGAAGTGAAATATAGAAAATTTGGATCGCCACTGCAAGACACTTGCAGGACAATGCTGAGGACCCTCGAGCCCTTTCTTGTCGTGCTAGACTGACCCTGCAGTCTAGCTACCTCCCACAAAACCTCTCAGGCCAGCCAGTTTCTCCTGCTGGCGCTTGTTCAGCTCCGCCAAACCATGCTCGGCGTCGGCGAGCGCACGCGACATAGTCCTGCATGCTGTGTGCTGCTCACTCGTCATGTGCATTTGCACCCGCTTCAACTTTTCGAGTACCTTGCCAACGTGCTCGCGGGCTGAAGAGGGGTGCTGATGGTGAGAGATAAGGCAAAGACTCGCGAAATTGATCGGAGTGGGAAATCAGTCGGACAACAGTTAAACTATATATGAGCTCCCGATAAAAAAAAAGTGCCTAAAGAATGGGACTACCATAGAAACCCCACTACAACACCCGTACTCACAAGCCACCACTTTGCCAACCGCCAGGAATAGGTAGCCTATGGCAATGCCTAAAAAACTCTCATAGTACTTCTTGGGTCATTTTCCATGTGCGGCTTAAGTTCCACAAGCTTGGCGACATAGGCGCTGATCTTGTTTGCATTCAGACCATTGCGGACCATCCTCTTCTCACACCAGACGTAAAAAGGTCGCAGGAGACTGTCCTCTGACTGCTTTCCAGCAGTGTACCTCTCTACCCGCGTGGCCCAAGTGATGCTCTCAAGCTCCGACATAGTACGCATACACTTGCCATGCGGTCCACCGGTTATCCAATCCGGGAACGCCAGCACATCCTCTCCGGTTTCAGCAGCCACAAGAAGCTTCTCCCGCAGCGCTTGATCTTGAGCTTCTACAGAGCGCACTACACGCCGCAATTCCCAACGCAGCTCGCCTGGGATGACCTTTGCCAAAACCACCGAAAGCTCGTACTTTTTATGAAGGTGGGGGGGAGGGGAGTGAAGTGGTGGGGTCTATCAATCAAGTCAAAGTAAATAACACACTAGGCCTTCCCTATGGCGTCACAGAAGCTACTAAAATTAAATAACAACCACACGGGGGCTGTATCCAGTCATAAAAGGTGCACGGTGTGCTCAGCTCCTTCTCGATATTCCGGCAAACGTCCTCGCGTGCCTGGCAGAACTTTCCATGTAGTGAGACACTGCCGGCACAGCTGGAGGGCATCCTCATTTTGACAACTTTGCACTCAAAAAAATCCAACTCGAAGGACGCCACCACGCTGAGCCGCATCGCAACTGCCTCATAGCGATCATCTACAACACCAAGATGCTCAGCCTCCACGACAAGCGCATCTAGCTCTGCCGACTGCTGAGCTGTGCGCCCTTTGGTCTCAAATGGATCCTCGTCCCCACCAAGAAGGAGAAGGCCCGCGTCGCTGCAGAGTACCTTTTGCGTTATTGACAAAATCGATCGCGTTTCGATGAGCGAGGACGAGGAAACAACATGAGGCATCTGGTCAAGGTAATGGAATAAGATAAGATATGGCAATGGTACCTGCGTAACACGACGCGGCATCTCGATGAACTTCCGCTTTGCCTCCAACCCCTTGCGAACACCGTCATAGCAGGGCACCTCAGCGTGCGCAATGAGAGCGACGCACTCGTCCGCGTCGTCATCTGGAACTCGCAAAACCTCATCCGTTGTGCCGGCACTAATAATTTCGTGCACCCGCGCAAGGTTCGGCGCAAACGTCAAGATCGAATCGTGAAACCTGGTAGAGATTAGGCGTGAGAGAAAATCACAACGGAAAAGGAAGCGAGGCACTTTAGCGAAACGGTAAGTAGATGGGAAAGAAGGAAACTAATCAGATGGAAGATCATGAATTTTTTGCATCAGGGCCTAGCACCACGGACATCAAGTCGGAGCTCAACTTTATATTACACCACTGGGAAAAGGCAAGACCCACTGCCAAGAAGCCACATCTTTGTGGGCCCAGCCAAGGACAATAAGTGAAAGAATAACGTAAACTATACTTGCTACAAAATTTCGGGCCGCCTATTCCCAACGTCTTGTAGCGATTCTTCAACATCGTTGCGCCCATACTCTTAACCTTCTCATATGGAACGCGCCGGGGACCAGTCGGGAAAGCATCTGGTGAGAAGATAGCTGATTGTCATAAGATAACAAATTTTCAAAACTTGCTATCGTATGACAAAAACATCCCAAGGAAGGTCAATCTAGAACAAGAAAGCTGCGCACTTTGTCAGCCAGTGCCAAATATGTAGATAAAAGCCACCCGAGGCGCATATACGTGAGCGGCCCTCGAGTAGCTAAATCAGAAAGCATCAAACTCTACACAAAAAACGAAAATACCTAATCCCGCCGCAACGACTTGCTTGGCAGCCTTCAAGAGATCGATACTGTGTAGATTCTTGTCGCCCTTGGATACAACAGCAATAACTCCACTGGTATGATCCCCAACCTCTTCAAGCGTCAACGGAGGCGCAAAGTCATCAAAAACGGCTTCCGAATTTTCGCCATCAATGGCACGCCGCAGCGCCTGCTCATTTGCGAATGTTGCTGTTGGTGGGACATAGTTGAGGAAGTCGTCGTCGCTGTCCTCGCAGCTGGGCTGCGCGCCACCAGTGGTTGCGGTGCTCGCAGGCTTGAAGCCCAGACAAGAATCATCGGAGCAGTTGCCGTCTTCACCACCTTTTTCGAAATGGTTCCCATTGGACGAAGAAGAAGTTTGTTGTTTTGCCTGGCCCGGTGGACCTGTGGTGTCCGGCTCATCTACATCCATCGCAGTGGAACCCCCCACGCCATCATCTAGAGTTTTCGCGCCAGCGTTTGCAGAAGCTGAATCTGTTCCCGGAGCCAGCTGCTCACTGCTCACATCTGCAGCACTAGTACTACTAGATGAAAGACCTTCCGCTAGTTCAGTTGTTGCCACCGAAGCGCCGGCTTCGGCAGCGTTCTCTCCTTTGGATGTGCCCGGCAGGCCTTGCTGACTGACACTACTAGAAGAAGCCGCGCGATGATCTTCTTTCGCCCCACCAAGACCACCAAGCTCATCTTCAGTGGAAGCAAGGGCGTCACTGATGCCACTACTCTTCCGCCATTCCACCCGTAAAGCAGTAGCATGGCTATGCATCCACGGCTTCAAGGCCTCCGCCTTCGCATCGATTGTCTTGCTAACAGCGAAGATCTGAGCAAGAGACTCCCGCACCTGGTTCGCAACTCCTTGCACAGTATGGCGAAAGGCTTCATCTAGATGCGACTTGACTATTTTCCACTCCTCTGGCTGGAACTTGAGGCACTTGCCACCCTTAGAATCCTTACGGCTAGGCTTGCGGTCACGGCCATCCTTCATGAACGTCTGGGCCATGAACTCGCCAGCAGTTCGACCACCAGGAAAACACTTGGCGTCAAGGATTTTCTGGGAGAGCTTCCAGCTGTTCCGGTTGTAAGAGGTGACACTCTCCGCAGCTTGCTTGGCCGCCTCCTCTGACTCATACCACTCGGAGTCCTGTCGGGTCAGCTTCCTCTTTCGGGCCCCACGCTTTGGTTTAGGAGGCGGCGGCTGCGTCACCGCAGAAACCTGGAAGAGAGGAGTAAAGAGTATTATTATGAGACGCACACGCTGAAAAGAAGAAAGGCCTACTGGCGTAAACACAGAGTCCCACACATGCGCCTTACGTGAGTGGTCGGGTCCGAAGCGGGCACTAGCGCGCAAAAACTGGGAAGAGCGGGTCGCAATCAAGCTCGACACAAGATGAGCAACCCCGCCCGCCCGCCGCCGAACAACAACAACTTCGCGTGGACAGTCATCAACATGGCCACCTCACACCCCGACCCAATGGGCAACACAGGGAGAACTCCGCGTGCGGCGAAGCCACCAAACAAAGACTTGCCAGCCAGAACTTGAAGGACACACTCTCCACCTGCCCTGGCTGGAGACGACCATCACCCCTGAACCGAATCCCAACGAACCTTCGGGCCACGCCAAGCCAGCGACCCACTGCCCGACCACTCCGGAAACGCACGTGGGGAACCTCCTTAAAAAAGTTGCTAATTCAACACTCTAGTTGAGTTCTGTGCACTTCAGAAAACTTACTAAAAATCGCTCTAATTTACCACTCTAATTGCGACTCTAATTCACACCACCCAAATGACACACAAAACCTAGTATGAAGAATTAGAATACAAATTAGAGCACTAAATTAGAGTGATTTTTAGAAGAAATTCACGCGATAAGAAAAGAATTAGAATAACGAATTAGAGCGATTTTTAGAGTAATTTTTCAGTGCCAATATCGAAGGAAAAGCGTCGAATTAGAAGTACCAAATTAGCATGCAGAATTAGAGTAACAAATTAGAGTAACAAATTAGAGCGAATTTCAGTAAAATTTTTAGAAAATTTCAGTACCTCTAGAGCCAGATGATGTCCAACGGACGAAGTGGTAGAGGTAGTTCCAATCGCAAAAGAAGAGACAACAGGAGCAGCAGATGAGGAAGACGACGAGGAAGAGGAAGTAGTTTTTTTTCCATCATTCGGCTGCTTTTTCATAGAGGACTTCTTTATGACCGATTTCGGCCCAGCAGCCTTGGCTTCTGCCACTGGGCCGCCCATCCTCGTAAAAAGTCAAGGTCTAAGACAGCCTACTCTCACACAACTGCCCATCAGAATTGCATGAAGATAAAACTGCAAAAAATGAAAACAAAATAATTAAGAGCCGTGCTCTCACGTTAAAAGCTTAGAGATAGAGCGACCGAAGTACACCTTTGAAGCATGAACTTCACTGCCATCTTTTTTTTCAGCACACGGCCGCCTTCTTTATCGTGTCACACCACACGCGCCATCTTCTCTTCCTCTACCAAGTACATCACGAAAGCAGCACGTCTGTGCCATCCTTGGCGCAGTGGAGCAACGAGCACCATCGTAAATACTACTAGCAACACAACAGAGAATTCGAATGAGAGATAAATTAGCTGGCACGCGTTTGATGAGATTACTATCTTGAGAAAGCCACGGACTCTGTACGACCAAGAGGAGAGCGCTGATCTGGAAGAAAAACTAGTCAAAGGCCTGCAGAAGAGCCTCCTCGACTTTCCTCTCAATAGGGAGGAAGAACACGCCCTCCGTGCAGAGCTTTTCTAATTGATCAAACATGCCCTGCCTGCCATGCTTGCTGAGCTCCTTTTTATCTGCTAAAAATTTTCTGTCCTGCAGCAAAGCCTGCAAGAGATCAGGACCACCTAACATCGTACGCATAGCCTGGCTATGCTCGGGCTGCACGTCAGCTGTTCCAAGCGGCTGCGCCCCATACTCGATGAGGAGACGATAGAGCCGCCGCAGCAACAAAGCGTGCGCTTTTGATCCTCCCAAAGCTGGAGGAAGTCCATCTTTCGCGAGGCCGGTAGTCCGATGGCCTCTGCAGCCTGCCGCACACACAGAGGCTTGACCCTAAACGAATACGCGTCGTGAGTAGCTTGCTTTTTTAACCACAACCACGCCCCACCCAAAAGCTTCACCTCAAAGACCTGGTCTCGCGTCCAGTCCTCACCAGACGCTGCAGCCTGTTCCTGGAGGACTTTCCTCTCTGATGCTAACTCGCTGCGCACACGCCCTAACTCCTCCTCCTGTCGTTCTTGGGCTGCCAGCATGTCCTTGATCGTGTTGGGGTCACCAAGATCGCGACGTTTGTAGTTGTTTAGAGCACGACTAGAGTTTGATCTTGCGCACCCCAGTGCTTGCGCATTCGCATTCTGCTTACCTCGTCGAAGAGGTTGCCCAGGCATGACACGCTGGAACGGCGGCGCCTCGAGGTCACTCCAAGTTGCGTCAGACTTGATGTAGAGCGACCCACACGACCCATGGCACACTTCTGCAGAGTCCAGAAAATACGCTTGGCCCTCCAGGGAGAGCAAGTTGAGCACGACGCCGGTCCTCGAGAATGACGCTCGGGGGCTGCCATCCAGAACAGAAGGCGTCTGCTCGTCGATGTGCAACAAATGCGCGCCCAGGATGTATGGTCTTTCGCTGACGAAAGTTAAAAGCATCACACAGACATCCAAATCACCAACGACGAGAGGACGCGCTCGGCGCAGAAAGAGCAAACCACCAATGACACCACCACGGTCGACCGACTGGCGAAGGAGCGTCGTCACTCTACCGTCCAGAGACTCGCCGTGCGCAAGATGAGGAAACCGATAAGGAAAGACCAGCGTTGCCTGCTCGTGATATTTTGCCAAAGAAGAACTATAATGCTGCGCGCGCTTCTTCTGAGATGCCTTCACTGGATTGGCTGGCAGTTTTTTCCACTCTTCTCGGAACATCTTCTCGGGAATATTCCTGTCAAGATTATCTGTGTTCGATCCCGTCACGAACTGCCTCAGCTTCGCCTCCTTGCGCTGTAAGCGCCGCTGCGTGTCGAGGTTCTTCAGATATTTGCAAACCGCCTGCTCCTCGATCTCTTGCCGCCTCTTCCTCACTTGTGCAGCGTATGCAGCACCCTGTCCCTGACTCAGCGCAAGCCTCGCGCTTTTAGCAACGTCAGCCAGCGCAACCTGCTGTCGCTCAAATCCAAGACGATTCCCTGCAAGCTTCTCGCGAGTGTACATACTGGACGCGTTGACCCTACAGGCAGACGACTTAGCGCGGACTACTGCTAGAGGCAGTGGCCCACTTGCCCCAGTCGACTTCTTCCCGGCTGTTTTCCTGAGCATGTGATTCTGCTCCAAGAATTTTGCCCGCCACTGGATGTCATTTACGAGCCGGAAGGACTTCGCCCCCCCAGTGTATCTGTGTGCAAACTTGTGATACTGTTCTTGGATGATGATGCTCTGGGGTAGTGCTAGCATGCTAGACAGAACGTCCTGAAGTGACTGAGCGTGAATCTGGAGCAGCTCTGGGGCAGTTTGCTGTATCCGCTGCAGCTTCCGAGTAAATCCTTCGTCGGCCTCTTCTACAGCGGTACTTTGCACAGAGTCGAGGACACTAGCGACGGTTATCTCGTCCTGCGCTGTGAAGTGCACCCAAGGCGGCATGTCGAGCCGACGAAACGCGAGCACCTCCGCTGAAGTAAGGCAAACATCGATAGCCAATTGCAGTCGCGGAACTTCCTCAGCAACACGCGATGGAGAAACAGACGAGAAAGACCACAGCATAGCGAAATCTTGACGCCGCCACTTCTCCACACGTTGCGCCAATGCAGCACGAACAGAGACAGCTGCCAGAATGGAGCCATTCTCCAGCAGTGCAGCTTCTGCCTCCTCAAACGGAGGGAAAACAGAAACGAGCGACCACACCGCGACAGCAAATCCATCGTCTGCGACTTTGACGGAGGTGGTCCCGAATGCCTGCTTGATGTCGAACTTCCTACGACCATTCTCGTAGAGGTGCGCAGCGAGAATCGGTAGCCCTAAGACATCCGCCAGCGCTGCTCGCCTCGCTGGTTGCAAAGCGTTGCCCATTCGACCGAACTGGAAGTCTTGATATGCTAGCCCTGCTACAACAGCAACAATCTCGCCCAGAACTCCATCATCTAAAGAAAAAGCCACTGCCCCACAAAGACTGCCATCTTCCCAACGAAGCTGCAGACGGGAGAGAGTCGCAGCCAAATCATCATCAGCACCACAGAGGAGGAAGTCGATTGTTGCTTTGTAATTTTCAACGTTGTCCAGAGGGTGTTGTATGTAGTTCGCTGCCACCCATTCAGACGCCATCTCCTCCATGCCCACGCGGGACTTTCGAAAAGCGCACGCGATCTGCTTGACGTCATCCTGCTCACCCTCCCCTTGCAAAGTCGGCAAGGTCGACGTCGCGTCTTCCATAGCACCATGAAGACCATGCGAGAGGCAAACATCGACGCCATAAAGGTCGAGAAGAGCCTCCGACGGCGTCTGCGGTCCAGAGTCAAAGACCCCCCGCTCATGTCGTAACCCGACATACTTGCGCAAGGCGCCCTTGCTTGCACCATCGCCGGCATAGTGGTGGAAGGTAAACCCTTCACTTCGCTTAGCGCCATGCAAGTCACGGATCAGTCTCGTTCTGCGCAAAATTTCTTGAAAGACCATGAGGTCCGTGCGGCCTTCGGTCATGCAAACAACATCACCCCCGAGCCAGTAGCGCTGCATCTCCTGTCCGCAGTCTTCTGCAATGTTTGTCGCTAGCCGTCTACTATCTTCACCAGGAAAGAAGAAGCGCTGCGATATGCCACCACAGTCCGCACGGGTGTACGCGCCATTCGTGGTCAGCACCATTGGCGTGCCGTCAAACTGAACGTGAGAAACGACACCCACACCACGCGAATGCGCAGAAGCGACTACAGCTGAGACATATCGAAGCTGACAAGCCTCGTAGACAAGCTTCAACCGGAGGAGGATGCGCTCGATCATTAGCCCAGTGGCCTTCTCGGTCTTTCGCTGTGCCTCATCGAACTCCGCACGAGCTGCCACATCCATGGGGACCGCACTGCGCATGACCTGCAAGAGGAACTTGCCATACCAGCCGACGCTTGTTCTACTCGACGACGGCAGTACCATCATGCCGCGGAGCAAATCCATACGACCAGAGGCCAACAAGACTCGCGCCAACACATCGGCATCAGCCTCAGCCGAACCTTCTACAACGGGTACGGGAAGCGCCATCTTTTCTAGAATGTCAAAACCCACACCACACGAGGGCGCACGAACTCTCTCACTCGAATCTAACTACCTACGGCCATCCAGGAACATTATGAGAGCACCCACAGGTTCCTGCGAGAATCCAACCAAAGCGCGGCTGGCGAAGTGGAAGACCACGACCCGAGCAGAGCCGTGGGGCGCACCCCTGCCGACTGCAAGCTGAGAGAGGCAAACCCATCAACACCACCCAACCCCGGCGCGCTGGCTAGCCTCCTACCTCCGAACCCCCACACGGTCACCAATTGACGACAAGGAAAAAGAAGAGCCCCCGAGTCATTTCTTGGCAAACACATCCGGCGAGTCTTTTCGCGATACCCGGAACCCTGCCCACGGGCACCCCACGCGAAGAAAATGCGAGCGCAAGGCTGCGGCGCTTCTAGATGCGCTAGCCCTTTCCTATTACTTGAGAAAAGTGGGGACAAAAATCAAAATTAGAGGAATTTTAGGAATATTTTACACGAGAAAAGTGCCCGGCGGTGTCCCCCTGAAGTTGCTTGGTTGCTTCGGGGTCTGCTACTTCCCCGCCAGGCCATTTCAGCTTCAAGCTACAACCTGCGCGCATGGCGCGGCCTGCGCGGACTGGCGTCGCGTGCATCGCGTTGCTGTCCACTGCAGTACTAGCACTACTAGCAATAAGTAGTAATACTTAGCGGGAGTGTAGCTCACTTAAATACGTGATGAATTATTCAAATATGAATGCGGATGGTGGATTTAGTGAAAACTTGTCCTCAGTCGAGTTTTAGTACGAATCACGAGTAAAAGATGGCTCTAGTTTTAATGGTAACGCCCTCCTTAGTTATCACCCTAGTGCTGGAAGGTTGAGACGATTCGGAATTGGATGGAAACGCTTCACATTTTTAATTGCTTTAATTCACTACAGCCAGGCGATGTTTAATTAGATGGCCCTCGTAGTATGTTGCTGCGCAATAGCTTGTAGTCAGAGAAGGCATCGCCGCGACGTCTACCAGGATCTTTCGGAATCAGGGCGAGGCTTTGAATTGACTGGAGAGCCATGGATTTGCTTTTTCTTTTCATTCAGCACTGAGCTTTGTCCTATTGCATGCATTCAGATTGGAATTAGAACAGAGACCTATTGCCTGTTCTTGATGTTGATCCTTCGCAGTGGTCAGACGTTCGGATGTGGGTTCGTCGCTAAGTCAACCACGCAGGTGGGAATAGCTCTGCTTCGTGTCATCATGGTAGATTTGTCTAGAGAGTTTGATCCTGCAAGAATAGTCGTGATTGAAATGCGCACAAAATGACTGATATACGTTGTTTCTATAGCTGTCAAAATTCGCAGCGCCCCAGTTGTTAATGGCAGCTTACGAACACGATAACACTAATGCAAAGTACTCACCTCAAAGGTGACCGAAGGGCAGCCCGAACCTTTATTGTGCAAAGACCTAAGTCGGAGGAGGGAACGATGATAATCTTGATGACATTCAAGGGCCTGCCTATGTGCACACTCAGGGCGCCACTTTGTCACAGTTTTGACATCTTTCGCCCATCCTTTTACTCCGCGCCACAGTTTCTTTTCCTCACTTTCTTCTCGTTTGACTATCAACAAAACATAATAAACGACGCGAGTCGATGACTCAAAGAAAGACGATAAAGAAATACTCTCGAGGCGAGGGAGAAAGAAAGCAGATTACTTCATCACAGATTCACCATTCACTTTTCTTTTACTCAGCTTTATTTCTTTACTCACTCAGCAAAACAATGATACGGCTTTCTACACTATCAGCCGAACACGGAACCAACCAACGACGACTCAGAGAGTTCATGTTCGCGAAAAGCATGCGTCGCGACCATTTCAAGACCCGGATGGTGCTTGATTTGATCAAGACAACTGAGAAGACCGATCGAGCGACTGGCCACCGTTCGCGCCCACTGAATGGCCAGCAGTTTCATAACGTGGCATCTGACACCGAAGATGAAGAGACGCCAAAGCCAGCACTGTGGCATGGCTATGCGTCCGAGTACTCGAAGACTCTCGAGGCCTGTCCTCCTATCTACTACGATGCTGCGATTGATGTTGCAGGACCACGCTACGAGTTTTATCAGCTGCTGGAGGCGTTGGGCGCAGTGGGTGCAGAATCTAAACCATTTCAAGCAGCGCCTCTCCTCAAAGCTGCTCAGAAGTTCACCGATCCATCTTGTGCGGCGAATACGCAGTGGACAGTCTGTGAGATTCGGCAGCGTCTGTCCCTCAAGCGTGAGGAGAATTGGCGCGCGATTTTTGCGGAGACTGCGGAGGCAGCTGGTCGGAGTGATGAGCACGTAGATGCAGTGCACTCGGTCCTAGAAAACGTTGTGAGCCGCTTCCACTCTCGGCCACGTCAAAGCGTGGCCCCAAGTGCATCAAAGTAGGACGAGACGGACCTTCTTGAGGACTACTGTGATCGCCGCAATAAGTGCAAGCCGCTGCTGGAAAAAGAAGCTGAGTCCCAGTGGAAAGAAAAGAAGCAGACAGAAGCAGCATGGGCTTCTGCCGCTGGCGCGATGTGGTCGAGGCAGATGGCACGTCGCCAAGCTGCTTATAGGCATCCACGCTACCACACGTCTCCGAGGGGTGACAACTACGACCAAGCGCGTCCTCTACCGGTAGGCACCATGCTAGAAATCTACGAAAATGCATCGCAAGACAGTCTAGGCGTAGACGATGTCCAATACGCTGCCGGCCAGACTCTGGCGAAGTACAAGCCAGGTGAGGGGAGGGACACCTATGCGCAACGTCTAACAACTTCAATGAACAACATCAAGAATCGCACGCGAGATCGCTGGACCAATGGCACGGAGGACAATGGACAGAAACTAGTAGAAGAAGACGCAGCTCGTGACTCCTTTAAATCCTATGGCGCTGTAGATTTAGGCTTTCGCGGTGTGCAGGCGATCTACTATGCGAGGCACAACGTTCCCGCGACCAGGCTTATTTCTACGACGGAGTGGGCGAGCGACTTGCTGAGGATCTAGGTCTGAATAACAAGAAGAAGCCAGCGACTGTTCGCAATCCTGACGAGCTGGACAGCGTCCGAGTGACACGACTGAAAAGAGGCTGGCTCGCTGGATACAAGTGCGCTCGCGATGCCAGTGGCAACTACTACACTGCTCCAATTGATCCCGCTGAAGTCCGTATAGTTGGAGGACAGCTATCACGTGTCGACATCTTCGAGGGCAACTCATACATCTCGCGACGCAATGGAGGCGGTTTCCAGTTGCGTTTGGAGGATGAGTCTTGGACTGAAGGCACTACGTCACAACGTGACTACTTCTGCACACAGAATGTCGACAAACAGCGCGGCGCATTGATCGAGATCCCCAACTCTTGTCCTGGCATCTCCCTTGAGGACCTTCGTAAGCTAACTGCCGAGGAGCGTAGAGCCCTTTTCAGTTGCGTCCAAGATGGTGCTCTGCCAGAGAATGCGCAGCAGCTGGTGAAGCAATCAATTCGACCAATCGAGCACGTTGCAGGCAAAGCTACTCTAAGTCTGTTGTTTGACGAGCATCAGCGCGACACTTGCCGCCGACAACTAGTAGAGAAGAGTAAGCCAGAGAATCGTCTGAACGCTGCACATGAGGCCGGCCTATCACGTCATCATCCCAAGCTTGTCTATGGGGTCCATCGTGTCCCTGGTACGACCAGCACTTCGGACAAGTCCAAGAAGAAACTACTAGCAGCCTTTCGATCACATCGAACCAAGCAAGGCCCTGGCACCGACAAGGTCAAGACTCACTGGGTAGGAGACTATCAGCCGAAGAACGTCCCAGCGACACCAGGAGTAGCGGCAGGAACAGGCGCTGATAGCCGAGCTGCAACTATCCTGATGCAGTGCGTCATCTTTGGGCTCTCTTGTCAGCCTGGTGAGTGTCTCCCTGAACGTATGCCAAATGAGGAAGATGGTCTTCTGGCAGAGTCCAAGATAGTCCCGATGCCAGATTCTGCTTACAAGTACACACTGGGCGCGCGTAGCTCTTCTTCTTCTGCTTCAGCGTCTACAGCTATCAATACTGCCAAGAATAAGGGGCAAGCTACTAGCAGTTCTAGCTCTACATCAATGAAGAAAAGCACAACACAGAACACGCCATCTACCTCAGGCATGCCCTCGATGAAACGCAGAAAGATGGGCGACATCATGCAAAGACATATTTCTACTCCAAGAAGGCCAAGACTGTACACAGTTGGAACGATTTGAATCGTGACGCCATGCAATTTACATAATGCGATGGCATTTATTGCTCCAATATAATCGACATAACACGCAACGAGATCCGATCCCCATAAAGTAGCACGCTTCCTGTGTAGTTTCTGCACAGGTAGTCAGTTTTTTTGCAGTCTAGTCGCTTTCAGATATGCGTAAGCTCATGGGAGTACCATCATGCTACTTAATGTCCATCGTATGGGCTGCCCATCGATGGGCAAGAACTCGTCCTCTGCTGGAGTATAGACCACTGGCCCGCGCCCGAGAGCTTGGACGAAGGCAGCCCTTGCCTGCTTCTCCCTTAACGTGGTGCAAGTGTAAGCCGATACTGTGGAGAGTTGTGCTTCTACAACACCTCCACCAGCCCGGTGGAGCTCCTGTAGGCGGGTTCGGAGTGTTGTTGAGTCGAATGTAGCTGATGACGCTTCAAAGTCGATGGCTGTATAGTCTTCCGCCCGGTGGATTGCGATGCATAAGATGTCACTACAGTCAGCTAAGCAGTAGCCAATGAGGATCATACCGCGCAGCTCATTTTGTTGGTTGTTCAAGGTCCAACGGAGTTCCCGGCGCCAGTTGCTTGCTTTTTTACTAGTTCCCTTGAATTGAATGAGCAGCCACCGACGGGATGATAGTCGCCGTCTGGTCCGAGGAGTGAGAGCAAGATCACTAAAAGCCTCAGGCGTAGGCTTAGTCTCAAAGTCATCTCCAAGCAACTTGATAAATCCTGCTCGGGCTTCGAGCTCAATTTCTCGGGGACGAGACCCCATCAGAGATCTACACTCTTTGCCTGTGGATGGCTGATGTTCTGCTGAGATGGTGTCGCAATCTGGTCGAGCAGACGAGAGTAAGTCAATGGCTTTTGTTCTCACAACCTTGATCGAGAATAAAGTCGCTCGCCTCGAGAATCTGGCCGATCGACGTTGATTTACAGCGCAATCCGATCCCTCGTTCTCTCCCATAATTCAGGCCGGCCTCAATTTGCTTCCCACCTCCTCTCTTTCCCATCGTCATCCTTTTACAATCACAAACAGCAAGCATGTTTCTGCTCCTGTTGTAGCTCAGTTTGTTCCTCGTAGAGTATGAGATAGGTTGGGCAGTATTGTAGTAGGATTCTCTCGTAGAAGTAGCGGAAGACAACCAAAATGACGCCAACTGTTATGGCGTTCCGAGGCAAGGCCGTGACACTGCTGGCCAAAGGGTCGCTTATTTGCCTCTCCGAGTGCCACCATCTGCCGGGCTGCTGCTCAGACCTATCTGGAGACCACCTCCAGAGACCAATCCTCACCTCCTGCAGGAATCTCCTGCAGCTTAATACTCTAATTTAACTAGCTAATTAAGCTACCTTAAGTTAAAGAAACGAATTTTCTAACTATAACCAGAGTAATTTTCTAACCTTGCCATAGTTCCTTGGTTAAGATTCTTAACCTCTTGCGCCCTGGTGCCACAGCAGACGTTCGTTGTGACCAGTGAAGATGTCACCGGGTCGATGAAGGCGTGCGAACTGCGCATCGGCGAATTGCTAAAGTACTCAGATAGCGGCAAATCCCCGCTCGAGTGTGCGCGCGAGACATGCGACGGGATAGGTGGCGCCGTTGAGTGGGGTCCACCGATAGAGCTATCGCGGAAACTTGTGGTATGCAATGGCAACACCACAAGCTCTACACTGCGCATAATACTGAGCAAGACACCCACTCCGAAAGCACCACGGCCCGAACAGTGCACAGCTCTCCACTCGATAGAGCTACGCTGGCACTTCCCGCTGAATAACGAAACAGATGCCAGAAGTAGCATGGGGGAGACGAACCAAGAAAGTGCCTGCGATCCGCCAGGCTCCTGCGAATGTGATAACCCAGACGCGACTGCAACTAAAACCGCACCGAGCCCCTGACCATAGTCCTTCAGTACTAGATCGCCGACGAGCAATATGTACCCGGTTAGCAACCCACCGAGCGCGTTGTACGCGACCGTGATCCACACAACTGGAGGCATATGCCGGGCGTGCTTGTTGAAGTCAAAAAGGTCATCCGACGCTGCGCTTGAGACAAAGAAGCCCACAAAAATACTTGCCACAGCCAGCACCGCGTTTTTGGTAAGAAGACCATTGAGAAGATCAAAATCAGTTTTGTTTTCCAGAACTTCGCCCGGAGACAGCTTCTGCTTCAGAAGCAACTCTATTGCCAAGCCTCCCAAGCTGGAAAGAAACGCCGCAATGCAGACGAGTGCCAGTCCGATGCACAAGTCGTTCTTGAACGGAAAATCGTGAGGGCAAGAGGGATTTTGTGCGACTCTTCTGGTGTAGTATGCGCCTCCCGCTGAGCATGCGGCAGCCAAAACCAAGACAAGACAGCCCAGTAGAGTGTGGACGGAAAGACACTGCCTATGGACGCACGTCCAAAGAAAGACGGCCCAAATCGTCTTCGACTGGAAGGCCACAAAATACGTGGGCGCGTCCAAGCACCGAGACGCCAAGACTTGCAGGCTGTTCTGCAAGAAATAAATCAGAGCGGGCGCGCCAAATATCATGAGCCGCTTCTTGGTAAACGTCGCGAAATGAGACCGAAGAGCGCCGGTTCTGAATCTCAACAACACAATGCAGATCATCAGTTTCGCCGCTTCCCCACATAAAACTGCGAACTGAGGGGAAAACCTCGACGTTGCCTCGGACTGGCCAAGATAACGATAAAGCAAAGCAGCTCCCGCATTCTGCGCTGCTAAAAACAGCAACAACGAATGCGCGCTGACACGCAAACCACTTGTCATAATGAGAATGAATGAACAAGAAGAGAAAAAAGCGCACCACCCCAAGGGAAAAATATTCGCCACCCAGTGTCCTCGAGCAGTGACCGGCCTGCCCGCATTGTGCGCCCGCGCGCACTAGATAAAGCCCTGGAGCTTTTTGCCTCAATCTTTCTAGCTATTTCAGTCGCCAGACTGGCTAGGTCTAAGAAGAGCCGGCGCCCTTTGTATACTTGGACATTGACAGCCATGAGTAAAAGCGACCCGACCACGTGGCGCGAGCATCTCGCCAGGCGGAGTTGATCTTCGCCACGTCGCTGTCGCGAGCGATTCCACCGACCCCAGAGCAGGCACAACCCCTGCCCAAAAATAAGACAACCCAGGCGCATCCCGATAGCAAGGGGGAAGCAAAAAGCACAAAGCCCCCCGACAGAGTCGGCGGCAGTCATCAGCGACACAGTAACCAAGCCTGCACGCAGCTGATAGGGCGCGGCACCTCGACAGCAGTGCAGGCTGGTAAGCTGTGGCCACAACCAACAACCTCAGCACAGACACCAAAAGCAAGAAGCGACCAATACGACAAGAGACGAAAACAGAGCCCCAGTTCTTGCCTCACATTGTAGGCAAAGGTGGCCTGGCGAGCTGGGTGCGGTCGGTCCTTAGAAGGAACCCCCTCGAGGTTCCTAGGCCTCTGATCCGTTTCCTATTCGTTTCCGAAATCGTTCAGGAAGTTGGCTCTTCGTCACTTTTGCCGACCTTTTCGGGCTCTTCGTCTACCCTCCCCACCCCTTTCGGCTGTTGGCATTTTTTTTGAGGCTTCCTAAATTACCACAAAAAACCTCCACGGGGACACTTTCCACTGGGTTCCCCTGACCCCTGACGCCCATCAACTGTGTGCGGACGGACTTGAGTAAGAGAATAAAGACGACACCGGAGGCGGGTCCCCCGCGTTCGGAGGCCACCCATCAGGCAGCCCCCTGCCTGCGTCTCGATCTTATGGGCCAACCGCTGGGATGCTTTCTCCTTTGTGATGCGGGAACATAGCCAGCTCCCCAACCTCGTTGGGCTTTGCTAATGATCCCCAAACCTGCAACAAGCGGACCGACCGAACGAGAACGGCCACAACCGGTAAGAAGCGAGCGACACCAACCCTCACACATGAGGGACATGAAGAGCTGCAGCGCCCTGACTGGATGCTCATCCATGGCGGTAACGACGGACACACCCACGGCCCCACCACACACAACACCGAAAACCCCCAAGCACCCCCGTGAGATAAAAACACAACAAACAAGGAGAACCCCCTGACTTTTCCCCCTTTGCTAACCTTGCTCCCCACCACGTGCGCAATCTATCACCACCCGGCCTGCGCCGGCCTTTCTGCCTCTGTTTCCCTCTGTGGTCGTGCTTCTCCTTCCGTTTGTTTTCTGCTCGTTCACGGGCCCCACCTTGCACGACGCCGCTTGTCGAGACAATATCGCACGGCCACCAAGGTAGACGGAAACGAACAAACCCCCCGAAGGCTGGACACAGTTTCCACACATGACACGGGGACCCCCCGTCTTGGGACATGCCCAAACACGTCACACATTGGGGACATGGCTGCGCGCGGGGTCACTGCCTCCACCCCATGCGCAACCACATCACAGAGGAACCCTCGCGCGGGTTCTTGGATGCTGGGCCGGGCGATGTCTGACCGAAGAAGGACAACACACGCAACCTCTACCCCAACCATCCCCCCTTGCGCCAATTGTTCCTGCCTGATGTGGTTGCGCTCCACAGACTTGGCGACACCTGCGAGGTCAGCCGACTGGGCACCTATCAGGGGGAAACACGACCCAACCCCCGCACCACCTAAGCCGAACAAGAGGACACCAAGGCCCCCGAGACTTCACACGGCTGCGGAATTCGATGCGGCTACAAAAACCTAAAAAAAAAACCCAAAAAGAGTCGACTCTTTCTTATCCTGCTAAGAATTTCCCGTCTTCACATTTTTATCCAAAAAAGACACACCCGGCCCACCCCGTAGACCGACCAGGAAAGCCAAAAACGCGAGGACTTATTTTTAACGTTTTTCGTGTTTCTCTAGTCGGTCCAAAGTGCCAACTTATGGCGCCATCGCTCCCCGATTTTGGCGAAGTTTTTGTGCTCTGTGTCATGCAGTTTTGACGACTCCTGCGGACACTCTTTTTTGGGTCCCGGGAAATCCTTTCAAAATTCGTTTCAAAATGATTTCAAAACGGTCCGAAATCATTTCAAAACGGGCCAGAAAAGGCCACGGAAATCGCACTGGTTTCCGCGGCCTTTCCTGGCCCGCTTGAAATGAATTCTGAACGAATTTGAAACAATTTTTTTGACGAAAAAATCGCCAAAAAACAAGAAAAACTTTCGGAAAAAATTCACACGATCCCGAGGCAACCAACCCCCCCGACACTGAGCCCGAAAAGGACCCCAAAAACGGGGAACACTGTGGCCGAACGTCCCCCCTTGCGCCGACTAGAAAACGGCAAAAAAGCAAAAAAAAGCGCGCAACTTCTCCGACCTCCTTGACCGTCCTCCGATTGAATCGCACAACGCTAGCGCACCGGCTTGAAGCAAAAAGCGAAGACACACACTGCACCGCCTGGCGAGGTCAATGGCCTCGGGCCCTGCATTTTTCCCCTTCAGAACTCAACCGGACCCCTGGACACCTTGACCCCTTTCCCATGCGTGCCCTGACCCAACCCAAACAACACAGACACACGCGCAACCCCACCCCGGTTTGCAGAGTCAGACTGACACACAACCGGCCGACCCCGAAAAAGCGCGGCTAAGCGAATTCAGCTACTTCAAAAGCCTTGCCCCCCCTCAAAAAAAGCGAACGGAAGCAAATTCGGACGAAAGCGCTATACTGTCGACAATGGAGGCAGCAGGCCTAATAGGAGTGCCACAGAGTTGCCCCCAGACAGTGTGTACACATACCAAGGCAAAGCAGAGAAAGCCCCCTGAGAGTTACACGCCACACACGGTAGGCACGAGATACATGCACGCAGGAGGCGGGAATGATACATCCCAGAAGCCGACGGCTACGCACCGGCTTCCATCATGATGCACGCCACCACGACAGACAGCGAGCGGGCACGCACGCACGCACTAAAATGCTACAGAGCTTATACACCAAAGCTGGATGGGTGGAGGCACGCTGCCAAGGTGCAACGTATTGGACTCGCGCACTTTGCTGCCAGAGAGCCACACGGCTGGAGACAGGGGCAGAAACTGACCGCAGGCAAGCAAGTGCGAGCTCCTGACACAACAAGACCCCTGCCAAAGTGAGAAGGCTGAGGCACTGCCACGGGCGGCACAAGCAGCGCGGGCCCGCTGCTGTGTCTCACCCTACAAGCCGCAACCGAAACAAAAAAAACGCAGTCAGCGCGCTGTACTATAAGAAAGCCCAAGCCCGCTCGCTGTTCCTCCGTTGCCTTCTGCTTCGAGGTTGATGCCATGTATTGGCCGCATCATTCTCATGCCGTTCGACTTCTTCGACAGAGAGTAGTAGCGCAGACACCTTCTATACCCCTAGCGTGGGCGCACTCATTCATCCATATCGTCCTGACATGAACTGCGTCGCGACTTTCGGTGTCGTGGCATTGGTAAACTTCCAAGCTGTAGAGTTCTTAGGAGACTCCAGCTAGGACAAGAAAGTCCTCAAAGGTAACCACCAACGACCCCGAGGCATGCACATGCGCAATGCTTTCAAACCGAGGTGATGTAGTTACTTATTTGTGCTCGCGGATGATCTGCGCCGACTCCAACAAGTGGGCGGAGCCTTTGGAGGTGTTGTCAATGCCATGGAAAGAAAAAAACCCGACACCGACCGCTGGAGTGTAGATTACTTAAGTAGTTGGGCGAACGGCCTGCAAGGGTGTCCGTCGTGCGTACCGCAGTAACTTTAAGCGAGTATCTTTGTCATGGACACTGGATCACACGCGTGGCCGTAAGGGCGTCGCGAAGTTAAGCTAGGACTTGTCAGTCTTGGTAGGTTCTTTAACTTTTAAGCTAGGAAGAAAAGAAAGACAAAGCCCACTTGCATACATCGCCTGAGTGAGACTGATGGGACTGCTTCACGAATTTTCTACACCCTTAGTGAAAGCAGTAGTCTTCTTTTTCTTTTTAGCTCGAGCGCTTTCTTTCTTGTGAAAAGGCTAGCGAGACTAATATAATAAGAGAAGTCGAGGGCAAGTTTTACTAAGCTCTCCGCTAGAAAAGTCACACGCTGGAGCCCCCCACCCCTTCACACCCGAAGCTTCTTCCTGCCGATGGGTATTGTAACCAACTGCAGGAACCCCCGGGCCGATGAGTAACCGACTACAACAAAAATGCAAGGACTTTCATTAAAATACTGATGCCCATTCGTGAGCCACTACGAATGAACTACCAACGAAATACTAATGAACTACTAGCGAACTACTAACGAACTACTAGTGAACCACTAGCGAGCTACCAACTTGCACCCTATTAGTATTACTTCATACGAATAGCGCCAGGCGGCCGCTGCTGCTATTTTTCTGCTAATTTGCTGCTGATTGCCCTCTACCACCCCACCCACGGAGAAGCAGAAACACCGAAAGAAAACACCGAAAAACAAGGCACCACCGAAAGCCACGAAGCGACCATAGACCGAAATGGCTAAGCTTGAAAGATCCCACCCCACCTGCTCCAGGCTCTCCAGTCAGGACCTCTCAAAGCTGTTGCGGAAAAGCTCAAACCCCACACAACCACGAAGCACATCAGCCCGCAGCGCGCTTGGGTCTCCGCTTGAAGTGTTGCTTTTGGCCAGGGATTGAGGAGAACCCCATAAGAAGGCGACCCCGCTAAGCCGAGGCCTATCGTCGGTCCTTTCAGGGCGCTAAGACTCTAAAGTCATGAATAAAATCGGACACGCGCCAGAATACGCACCAAGATCGCGACTTTCAGCTTCTATAATTGGCTCTTAGCGCGGTTCTAATTAGGTGCTATTTCAGAAATCCCCTTGAAAAACACACCCCCCAGCGAAAAACTTAGAACCCAAGTAGAAGCATAAAAGACACGACCTGGCGCAGTATTCTTATGCGGCACTAGAACTAAGAACCCCTATAGAAAAAATAGTACCCCACTGATCTGCTTGGCTTTGGCACCCAAAATCGCGGTAGTAGTTGTAGACGCTTCGTCTTTCGGTGGGTTCAAGGTGATGCTGGGAGTTGTGCTAGAAGTTGCCTCCTGTGGTTTTTTTTCCACGACAGGCACACCAGCAGCGCCTTCAGGTGCTAGAGTGTCGTCTTCCTGATCCGCTCCGTTGCCAACTTTCGCGCCCGACTTAGGAACCACCTCCATCCCCATTTTCTTCATCGGGGCTTTGCCTCCAGCGCCAGTCTTCTCACCTTCGTCAGCGTTTCCAATTTGCGACCCAGGAACAGGAGGTGGCCCCATTCTGGAACTAGCACCAGCATCAAAATCATCACCCCCACCTGGGGAACCCATCTTCGACTGCGACGCGCTTTCCTCGACTGACTTCTTTGTTAGAGAATCTATTCTAGATATATCTTGACACTTATACAACTTAATTAGAGCAAGACTAAAAAAGATCATAAGCCAACGTCTTTCGTAGGACAGTTATAAAATGACTTATTAGACTACAAAACTCCTACAAAAATCATAGCAGAGCACGACTCTCTATAGGATCTTCGAGCTTGCTCGTGAATGTTAATAATGATAGGCAAAACGTGGGCCATGACTACAAGCAGGAGTACAAGACAGATCAGACCGAGAACAAAGGAGCACACGACCGAAAGGAACAAAGCAGCAAGACAAGTTGATCACAGCCGAGCGGAAAGAACACGCGATATATCAAAGCAACCAGGAAGACAGACACGCCAGATGAGCTGTCAGTCAGCTTTGACCCACCAAGCACAAACGTTACCAATCACTTTGTAGGCTCCGCGTTAGTGTCGCTGTCACCTGTCGCTGTCCCCTTGAAAACCGGGGCACACCCATGGGGATTGAGGTGGAAAATTTGCAATTAGCTACTTTGAGACTACGACTCTAGCACTGAAAACCTGCGACTTCTCTTGATCAAAAAAGGGAGATTTTCACTATCAACACTACCAAGGCAAAACGCGGAATCTCATGCGGATCCGACACGATTGCGAGCTTCCAAAAGTTTCAACTTTTACAGAAAAAGAGAACCGTGCTTCTTATGCTGTCCAATTTTGGACAGGACTAGTACACGCGACGCCCCTTTTTCCCATGTTTTCAAGGGAGAACTACAGAAAAAGAGAACCGAGCTTCTTATACTGTCCAATTTTGGACAGGACTACACGCGACGCCTCTTTTTCCCATGTTTTCAAGGGAGAGACTTCCGCTCTCATGCAGATGAATGTCGAACACGATCGAAGATCCTTCGACGCATGCCTTCTACCAGCGGACGAGAGACCAGCACCACATGGCGCGGCAACATACCCTGCTAAGTGAGTACCTGCTAGGACTTACGAGAGAAAGTCCAGCGATAAAAAACTCAGAGAGCGAGAGACAAAACCCTCAGGCGGCGACAGCTTGGAGAGATCGGGACCGCCTCAGCCTCGAGCAGGGGTTTGCTCTAGACATAAGCACAAGGCCGCTCAAGCAAAAGAGACCCACAGCAGAGCCCCTAGGCGTCATAGAAAGAATGGCCACAGCGACCCTCCGTCTTGGCTGAAACGAAATGCCAGAGGTCGACCACCCGCGAAGCAGAAAGCCGCGCCGCCTTGCAGGTGAGCGTAAGCAAGTAACGACGCCCAAGACACCAGCCAAGATAAAGCGAGGCGGAGGAGGAGCGTCGCAGCATGAACAGAGAAGCAGCCCAAATACATTAGCGCGAGTATGGCGCGACCTAATACCTGCCCGCTTCGCTTCTGTGTTCTTCCTGCCATAGAATCTAACCCGAGCGCACGCCGATAAGGCGCAGCAGAAGACGCCGCAAGGCATTCTAAAGCCCTAAAAGTTCCTGCGCAGATAGCTATCCAGATACTCGACATTTTTGCAGTGATGTGCTTGCGAAGCGAGGAACTTCAGCCGCCGATCTCACGCAAGAGGCTACCAGAGCAGATCGCTACACGCATAGCTATGCCCCTTGTCATGTCGCGCCACCTCTTAGTTAAGGCGTCACTTTTGAGGCCATTTAGCCTCTCCACTCGAATCCACTTCATCGAAAGAGTAAGAGGCTCACGATGATCAGTAACAACAGCACTCGCCAATGATGTCCATACTGTTCCTGGGGTGAATTGACTCAGTTTCATGCGATAAAGTGCCTTCTTGTGATCGCGTTGCTCTTGTGATAAAGTTCAAACTTTTCTTGTGATAAAGTTCAAACTGTTCTCGTGATAAGGACTGACTCTCAACCCCTTTGCTGTAGTGGCACAGCTGTCCAACGCAGATTCATCTTTGTTAACATTCGAGCGAGCCCACCCCCTGCCCCTGTCCGGCTTCCGCTGGTTCACGCAAGTCGCTTCGCCTCCAAACTTCCGCAAACCAACGCGCACCACGCCCAGCCATCCGGTTGCTTCATGTTAGAAAGATCAGCGAATGTCTGTCACGAGCACAGTGAAAGTAAATGTAGACGCAGAGCGAGAACACCAAGCCACGGACAGACTCACTGAAAATACATAGCCGCTACGCTTACTGTTTAGAGTTCTAGCATCTTCACGCTGCCGTAGGTCGCACCCTCAACGACAAAGCGGGCCACTCATAACTTATCAGATGCGTCAGCGCTCTCGCCCTAGATGCACCAACCAACTGGAAACGCCTCCAATCTTGCCCGCAAGACTAATGGCTTCAGCGTCGGGGCGGTCAATCTCCACAGCAACGCGCTTCAATTATTTCAGGAGCGCCATCTTCGCCAAGTCCTTGCCGCCATCGTATCGCTTCAAGTAAAATTAGAGGCGTCTGCCAATGAGAGTCAGTCGTGAGTAGGATGGTTTCTCTTCAACATACACACAAGGACCAAGCGGCTGCGCTTGCTTCTCAGCCAGTCTATGGCCCTAAAAACCAACGACAAAAAGTCTAGACGTGCCCAAGTAGCCTGCAACCGTGCACCACCCAAAAGGCTAAGCAAGTAATCCAATCCACGCAAAGCGTAAGACCTTCTAACTGTATTACTGCCCTACGGCTCCACGGAGTCAAGTCATTAGTCAGAGACGAAAGGCTTCATATGACTACGTAGGTCGAGGATTCTACTGCAACTACTGCACTTCGTCGCTCTTATTTCAGCAAGAGAACAACGACTACCATTAAAGAATCCAGACACTAACGCAGACCGAAGCCAAACTCAAATAACTAAGCTTCGTCCTTTAGTGCAACATAGTCAGGGCGCTATCCCTGATCAGGTAAACGAGAAGACGAACAAGAACGGCTAGAGGCAAGATGATGACATAACTAGAAAGAAATAGATGAAAAAGGTCTAGCCGCTGCCGCAATAGGATGAGAAAGTGGGCGCTCTGAGCGAGGGCCAATAATTGTTAGACGTAGAGCAGTGCCAACACTAGAGCGGCCGCACTTGTCCAGCCCCTGCGTAAAAAAGAACGAGAGCCACAGCCTGGACCAGGAAGGAGTAAGTACATCAATCGCCTCTATGTCTATGTCTAGGCAATGGAGCGCATTTCGCTTTTCCAGCGTCCAAAGTTCTGCACTCGAACGGCAGCACGCGACTCGTGGCAAGGTGTTAAAGATGACTAAAGAAGCAGGAGGCCCCGCTACTTCATCAAGCCCGAAGTGGCTCCGGGCTATCTTAATTCTGAGCGACAACAACAAACCTCCCGAAATGGTCGCACGCTCGATTTCACAGCGGTGCTGCTTGAAGTTAATTGATGAAGCCGAGGCCGAGGGGCCAAACGATGCCAAAAAAGTGCATCTCTACGACTACGAGCAAAAAAGCTAAAGAAATGACATAGCTTTATCATTCTGCGCGCGTCGCCGTGTGCCCAATCAAACACGTTACGGACATGAGGAAGATACTTGTCTTTTCTCTGCTCGATGTAAGCGCCGCCAGTTTTCGTCGATTCCTGCTCGCGATATTTTCGAGATGCATGACGAGCAGCAAGCCGCGGCTTGCTCTGCTGGACCTGGGTCATTAATCCAAGAACTTGCCTCGTAGCAACATTATCCGTGCCTTGCGTGCCGCCAGAACCTGCCGGCTTCCCATCAAGCCCTCCGCCTTGAGTTCCGACCTCATAATGTGCTTCGTCATCATCGAACAAGCCCCCACCTCCTCCATCAGCAACCAAGAACGAGCACGAAAGAAAGGTGGCGAGGAGATTGATAATGGCGAATAGAAGAAAGAAGAAAGGGGAACCGTCTAGGAGGGTGCTCCCATGTTGTAAGCCCCAGTAAGTAGCGCCTAACTGTTCAAAAAAGGACAATAGTAAATATATGCTCAGCGTTAAGTATCTATAAGGCTGAGACTACTAGGGCCCGGGGCCGGAGGTGCTTACAGTGCTACAAAAAACTCGCCACAGCTATACCTATAGCGTGCGTAGTATGTAATGGACAGCAGTACGTCAGAGCGACGGGCACACTCTACAACAAGCTGCGACAGGTGAACCGCAAAAACAGCCACACCTTGCCAAACAAGAACAGAGCGCCGCGGCCTAGTATTCTGAGTGCAATTAATTGCATGCGGATGGCTAAAAGCCATCAGAATCATGATCAGGCCAAAGCTATTTTTTAGTTTTAGACATAGGCAGAAGATCAGACTAGCCGCGCCTTGCAACTCATATTTATAGTGCGCTCCTCTGAAAGACTGACCCGCCTGCTGCGCGTCTTCTCATCTTCAGCGTTACACTTAGACCCACGCATAAATTTTGCCCGCTTACACCTGGAGCCGGTGGCGGTTGATCCAGGAAAAGACTAAAGCCATCCCCATCAGTCGGCAGTAGGGCATGGTCTCCAAATTCCAGCCAGCATGTAAATTTCCGCGACCCTTAGAAGATTGCCACTACTACTACTACGGAGGAGGGAGAGGGACATCCTAACAGATGTAATCTCCTATAAGCTTGCGCAACTTAGATAGTCAAAAATCTTACTCCGCTAGAGATGAAAAAAGTAGAAGGGTCCCCATCACAAGACAGAGAGCCTTTATATGAATAAAACTCAAACACGGAAGGAACGACCTAGAAAATATTAGACACCACTGCCAGGCCTATCACCTCCACAACTCAACGCCAGCGCTAGCAACTCTAATGCTTACAGGTGGCAAAACAAAATAAACCCTACCAGGAGCAGGCATCCTCTACCCGTACACAACAAACGCAGCAGCTTGCGGCTACCTAGCTGAGAAAACGAAAAGAAGCAATGGCCAGCAAGTGCAAGCGTAGAATAGGCGCCTACTCTGAGTAGCTTAAGTAGTTCCATGATGTATACTCTTTGCCTTTCCTTAATGTTCTGCGCAAGCGTCTTGGGTGAGTATCAGGCTGCGAATCGGGCCGAAACAGAAGCCAGCCACTGACCCAATTCAAGTAATCGCCAGACTTGATCGAGCTCAGGCCGAACGTCTCGATTTTAGAAGTGGGGGCCTCGCTGATTATAAGTCAACGCCTAAGCTAACGACAGCAGCAAGGGCTTGCCTTGCTGAAGCCTTGCAGGCAATCACGGCGGTCCCCCGACTTCATGTCAGCCTTTGCCATAGCTTCCTCTCCCTCCTGCTAAGGTCCGTCTCCCTATTGCTCTCCGAAGAGCCGTCCGCAGGTCCTGGCAT